CACGCTTCGGCTCCCCTATCGATTCAAACGTAAACTTTTTTTCTTTCTCTCAAGTATGCTTCAAGTATGGAGCACGGTTAATTTAGAGATTAAGTTCCAAATTAGATTATCTAATGGCATCTTAATGGATTGCTGACCCATTTCCTGTGGGATGGCAGCATGCAAGTCTGGCTGGAATACAATTAATTTCTTAGGAAGTATTCTGAAGAGTTTGCCCAGATAAAGAGGAAACGTCCTGCTGTACAAATCTTTCTTTATAAATGGAGAAAGTTAGGCAAAAGTACAACAAATCCCAATATAGTTTTCAATAGCCAGATCACAAACATTGTATGTCTCATATCAAGATCATTTTCTAAGAACGGTAACATTTTTATTTTTGATTTCATAACGGGTGCAAATAATTTTGATGAGAATGGAGTAATTAAATCCTTTAAATAGAATATTCAAATACAAAGAGCAACACTACTTAGCAGCCCTGTTACCAAACAATGGTCATGTGCAATTTTGGCTTTTGCAATTCTCCCCCTGAAACCAAAGACTCTTCATTCATCTACTTTATCAGCATTTCTATCATAGTCCCAGAGTGGCATGCTAGGGGCCCAGAATGATGCATAAAAAGTTGAACATTTTGAACACACTTTAGCACTGACAGCTGAAAAGGAAATTCAGCACTCGGAGAATAAAGCTCCCCCCAGGAACTCCAGGAACAACCCAGCTGTTGTACTGTAGTTATGTGTCAAGATAACAAACTGAGAGCAGGAAATGCTAACCTAGTGAATTCGCATGATGGTCTAAATGTAATGTTGAAATGCAAGTTAACTCTTAATACCACCTAAGGACAGGACACATACTACCCTTATCACACACATGCCACATACATGTGGATACACGCACACACACACGCATATATGCAAACACACATGTAAACACATATGTGTACATACAAACATGGTTTGCAACCCAATATTAAAAATATTTTTGTTTAAATGTCTGTTTTGAACTCTCTTGAGAGCATACATTTTATGAAGAAAACTTTATGGACATAGCAAGGAAAACAGTAAATGGTTAAGGGCAGTGTTATGCAAATAGAGTTACGTGTACGAGATGAATGCTAGTAACCCTTCCTCTTTACCCTCTCTCTCCTGACCAACCAGATCCAAATAACCTTTACTGGCTGCTAAATTTCTCTGGGGAAATCTAGCAACTCTCTAGAATTGCAGTAATAAACGACAATTTCTTACAAAAACATGTGTAAAGTAACTACAGAATGAAGTATTCAACTCATAGAAAGGAACTGCTAACACATGTAACATGGAAAATAGCTGATAAAAGTCTCTTTGGTGCCATTCAATTATGGCATCAGCAGAAACACAGAAATCTTTCCAATTATTTCAGTAAAATCTTCATTTATTCATTATTTCAGAGGCTGAGCAAATGGTTTGTGTAAACATATCCTTCAGTAACACGCACATGTTTATTTTAGCCATCTGAAGGCTTCTTCTATGTTTATATAAGCCATCAGACACATACCACCACTCACTTGCGGCTTTGCATTTTCTTTAAAGGGGTGAAGGGAGACAAGGAGAATGAAACAATAAATCCAGTTTCTCTTTTGCATAAAGCACTCACTCCAATGTTTTAAAATAACATATGTTTATATTATTCTTGGATTGTCCTTCGGCTTCTTTTTCATTCAATTATATTGCTCTTTCATATTTTATAGTACAAGCTATGTTCTAGCTATACTTTCAAGAAAGCCAGTTAGGGAGTAACTGCTGTATGTGTTTATACCCATATAACTCACATATGCAACACTGTAATTTGTCCACTTAGGAGGACAAAGCACAAACACAACAGTACCTAGCTTAAGCAATTCATCACCTACTACCCTCCTGAGAGCTGTGAGCCCTTCACCAACATTTTACTCTGGGTTAACTGCAGAAAAAATCACTTTCTCAAGATGCACGTAACTCCTTTGCTCATGCACACGAATACATGCATACATACATACACACATACACACACACAAATAGCTCACAAAATTTTAAGGTCGAAACAGCAAAACACCTTCAGGGTTGTAACCTAGTAAGTCTGTGAAAACTTTCCAAAAGAGTCAGCTTTGGTTCCTAAGTGAATGTTTATACATTGGGGTGGGGTGCAGGGGAGGATGGAGGAAATCTTCCAGCTTTGATTATACTTGCACAGCGCCCTCGGCACTGCCATTTCCAGTCCTGAAAAAGGAGCTGCATTTGATATGAAAACACCTCCACAGGGCGATTACTATAAAGCAGAAAAGGGGCAACCATGGACAAATGACCATGCGAGTGAAGTAATGGCAGCACACAACAAACAATCAAAACAAAACAAAGCAAAACCCAAACACCCACTTTGCTTTGTCCTTTTCTACCACAAAGTCTCCAGGGACTGCCTTTTCTTAAAAACAAAAAGTGAAAAACCACAAGAAAAAATAACCTGTGATATTTTCGTTATTCCATCATGACAATGGCAAATTATTTAATTCTCTGGTTGAATAGATCTACATTTCTCAGATGTTTTCAACTTATTCAGATGATCCTAAAACTGTAGCTGTGCCCTGCAGATATCTATTATCTACCTTTAAAGTAATAGTGTTGTAGACATTTATGATTTCCTTTTTCAGTATTCTTTCTAGAAAAAAAAACATTAAGTTTTAAAAACAACCACAGTGCACAAACGATAAGTTATGAATAAAGCTTTGTGCCACAGACCTGGCCTATTTGTATTATCAAATATAGATTCAACTTGTGTCCGTTTTTGACAACTATAACAAAGCAAAGCAAATTTCTGTCTCATTTGAGCACCTTTACTCTGACCTTTATGACATTTAGATTTTAAGATCAGTGAGCATCTGTCAGTCACAGTGGTTAGGACAGCCCACCACAGAAATTCAATAAATACCTGTCGAATGTATGCACGTGATGCCTACCCTTATTAATTATGTGCTTTCTGAATCACCATAAAAAAGAAACAAACCAAAAGCTACCTTTTAAAGAGTTTTTGGAATTATTAGGTCACTCTACATATTATTATCTTCTTATCCAAGGAAAAAATTACTGTGTTTGAAAGCGGGAGGAAAAAAAAAATCTTAACTAAATAAATTCTGAATTTTTTTCTGACTTACTATGACCTGAAATTGAATACCACACCAATTTTTCACCAAGAAGGCGATTTGTAACACAAACAATATTCCCCTAAGAACTGAGCTTAGCCACCACATTCATTCACTCCAAGACACGTATTCTGAGATTCTTTGTCCACTCACCTTTTCTTTGTTGGGGTATAAAGTTTTGATTCAAAGAATGACTAGGATCTAGGTGAAATTATACTTTAAATCTTCAATAATTTACACCTTTATTTGCCTTTAATGTACTTTAGAAGTGCTATCCTATTTTAGATTAAGTAAATGTCAATCAGTAATGCACAGATTTGGCAGTTCACACAGCAATAGGCACACTTACAAACATGAGTACGCTTCATCTGATTTGGAATTCTTGTAAATATGGTAAGCCTGTATATAGACATAGGCCATTTTGCTAACTGATAGGCAGAGCATGAAATATAAGAAAGTTATTTAATAAAATAAAATGCAAACATTGTGTTATCAAATTCAATTAAGTTGACTTTAAAATAGTTATTAATTCAAGCTATTTGAATAAGATACTTTCATTTAATTTAACTAAGATGATTAATCATTAAGACTATTTAAATATGCTTTCATTGAGTTTATCTTCTTTTTTACAAGTATAATACTGTTTTTTTTCCTTAAGGGAAGAAATAATACAAGCTTTTTGGGAAAAAAACTCACAGTATGTAAAACTGCATCCATTTTTAAAGTGGATGTTATATCAATCTTCAAAAAGAGAAAAGTTGTATTGTATTCATTATGGTAGTAAATTAATACAAAGTCATCAAGTTTTTACAAGCAAAATCCAGATAATTTTCTTAATTTTTATCTGAGTTAAACTGGACATTTAATTAGTCTGATTCTTTTAAACTCTGCTCTTCAGCAGTTTCTATCAACCAATATGGACATGGGCAGCCCACTTACAACTGATATCTGAGAATGTACTTTTACACAGGCACTGAAGGAAGTTTACAATCATAGCAGGGGAGGAAAATTATGCTGGCTCTACTTTTGGTGAACTCCGTATGGTATTACCTCACTCTCTTCTGCAAATTTTTACCTCTTATTACTTAACGATTACACAATGAATTTTAATTTGTCAATATGACACAATTTATTCTTTATTAAAATAGTGCATAAGAAGTTGACTTAGAACAACTTACTTTCTAAAACCAATACATAAGAAAATTATCAAAACTGATTTTGAAAATGAAGTTAGAGCATAAATTTTTCACCAGACAAATAAATTCAATCTTTCACATCAATATACAGACAGAAGTTAAAACTTTAAACCAAATTCCTTCTTTAGCTATGGTTCCAACAATATTCTCACTCTAAAATTTATGGGTGCTGCCAATAGTTACATTGACTAATTTGAAATTTTTCTTCTAGGTTTTCCCTTCTGATAGGGGAATAAGTGAATAGCTAAATGGCTTAGAGTTAGCAGTAGAGGAAGTATTTATAATGTGAAAAAGCAATACTTTATCCTCAGATAGTTAAAAAAAATCTACCCTAAAGCTGTCATTTCATTTTTCAGGTCCTAAAATCTAAATGTCACATTCCACTCCCTCCCCCACCAAAAAATTATAAATTGTATAAAACAGTTGGCAGCATTCAGAAATTCCAGTGATCAGTTAGAATACGCTATAATCTCAAATTAATTTGACGTTGCATTTAAATAAGAAATAAGGAAGGGGGGTAGGGGAAGAGGGGTGGTATAGCCAAAACAACTAAATTTTTAACATATATTTTCTGTAAAGCTAGTTATAAACAAACACTATATAGCTCATGTAATTTTTAGATGTAAGTGTAGGGTTGGAAATAATTAAAATGTTACCTTTGCCAAGTAATTCCCAATGTATCCTCACTGGTACTGGGGTATAAATGCCTGCCGTTTTGATTCATGGTCCAGTCACAAATCCTCAGCTGTCAATTGAAACCTAGCAGTCAGATATGGATCGAGCAGTACTACAGTTTTTAGTATTTAAATGAACACATGCAAAACTAGTACTGTACATGGCATTAACCTTACTTTCCCCAAGAGGAAACTTAAAGAAAAAAAAAAAAAAAACAAGCAAAAGAAAATCTTACTCTGAAAAGCAAAATTCCTAGAATCTTTTTCCAAAAAAGCTATTGCAATATGCTTCTCCATTAATTAAAGCATACAAGAGAAGTGCATAGAACATAACAATTAGCCATCATTAGAGTACAAATTGAGCTGAAATAAAAGCAAACGTTAATGTTCAATAGAGATTTTAGAAAGAAAACAAAAATGCTTTTTTTTTCTATGCAACATACCAAATAATCTGCACTAAGTAAAATAATCAATAACTTTAAGCATGCAGTTTGCAAAACATAGAAGACATGCAGTTTAGAGGAGAAAGGCCCCACCTTACAAACATTCGCCCTAATTTATGTTTGGAAGTATCAAGGTATTCAGTTTTAGATATTTACTAATTTTGTTTTACTTAAAGTGGCATTGTTTAGAAAGTGTTGATAAGAATTTCTACTTTTATGTTAAACTCAGAGTGATGGCATTTAAAATATCTTACTACATCTGAAGAAAGTGAGGAATGCAATGAATACAAGCTGAAACAAATTCTTCCCAGATCGCCGAATCATCAGCTCTGTCCTTCAGAGATTGTTCGAGTAACCCTATCCAGCTCTGTTTGGTTAACAGCTGCCCTACAGTGCTAGCAGATTTATTGAAAAGATATATTGCTTATTTTTATGCTTAAGAAAGTAAACTTATCCGGCTTTGGGGGAAGAAACACACTAGAAAATCATGCTTTTTAACCTTTAGATAACCATGCTGTAAATTAACTGCATCTTGAATCAAAAAGATGATTTCTTCACAGCAATTCACTAACCCTGGTTTGCTGCTTCTCAGTAAGAATTTCTAGATGATGATCAGAGTCAAAGTACCCCACAAATATATACAAGTAAATGTTAAAATAAAGAAAAATAAATAAATAAATAAAAGATGCTCAGTGACAAATACAAATAAATGAACATTTGATTTTTCCTAAGGTACTAAACCAATGGAATCCTTCCTTCTTTTTAAGTGTCTCAACACATACTGGCTTTTACCAATATATTTTATAATATAATAAATGCTTGGTAAATGAAAAAAATAAAATAAAATAAACTATGATAAACTATTTTAATCCTTTCTGATACTGCTATGGCTAAAAAACCCTGGCTATTAAGAATCTTTACTTTTTTAGACTCTCAAGCTTCGGCACGCTCTAAGTAATAGTGATTCAGGAATTTTAGAATAATATACCCAATTTTTACAGATCTGTGAAGCTCCAAAAATACCATCTAAAATTTCCAAACATGTGTTTTAATTATATTGATATTTCAAGTAAAAGTTATCTTACAATTTAAGAAACTGAAAAAAATTCCCTTCATGTAGACAGACAGATAAGTAGATTGATAGATATGTAGATTCTGTTCAGAATATGTCACAAAGAAGTCATTAATCAGAAATAAATTAGAAAGGAAGATAAATATTCTTAAAATGCACCATAATACTTACATAAAGGAGAAAATGTATACTTGATGAGTTTTAAGTCAAACAGATGATACACTTTTGCTATTTTAATGAAGTAAGTTTTTGTTCAATCTAGTGTGTGAGAAGCAATATGGCAGGATTTTTTAAAAATTCTCAAAATGAGTCATCTAATAAGAAATTCAATGTGATGGGGCAAATTGATTTTTGTTGGGTTTTTTTTTTCACATTAACAGAGTAAACAGTTGTCTATTTCAAAATACAGTGTTAAAAGTATTGAAATAAAACCATGAAAACAATCTAAAAACAGTTCAAGAAACTTGGCTTTGTATAAAGATTACCTTATGGACCACTTATTGATTCTGCTGTAGTCAATGCAAATGCCAGTTTTGTATAAATTGAACATTCTCAAGAAGGGAGGAGTACATTTAGGCATGGCACATGTTAATTCTGTTAATTCTTAACTTCAGGTTAGTTTCTATGGGCCTCTCAGCTTAGACTGGAGAAGTTTTCAGAAAAAGAATAAACTTTCATAAAACAATGGGAACCGAAATATCACTCACTGATTAGCTTACTGTCTCAAAGACAACTGCAGGAACACTATGTCTCCAGAAAAATGCACATGTAAATTAGTTTTTTGTTGTTAATGTTGCTAATTTTTTGTTTGTCTGTTTGTTTTACCACCCCTAAAAATGTCAAGTGGGCTATCTTTGGCCACATGCTGAATACTAAAAATCAACATGTTTTTGGACTTTTCTTTCCTAAGAGTAGTCTCAAAGGGGTTAAAACTGACTACAGCTATTCATTTTCATCTATATTTAAGATGCAGTTGTCCCTCGGTAACCATGGGGAATTGGTTCCAGGACCTCCCGCAGATAACAAAATCCACAGATTCTGAAGTTCCTGAAATAAAATGGTGTAGCATTTGCATATAACCTATGCACAATCTTCTTTTATACCTTAAATCATCTCTAGATTACTTATAATACCTAATACAATGTAAACAATATGTAAATAGTTGATATGTAAACCATACCATATGGTTTAGAGAACAGAGACAAGGAAAAAAGTCTGTGCATGTTTGGTTCTGATGCAATTTTTTTCCAAATATTTTCAATCTGTGGTTGGTTGAATCCACAGATGCAGAACCCAAATATATGGAGGCCCTACTGTATATGTAATAGGAATATTTCTCTCAAACAGAAAAACATGCTTAAATACATACAAAATAATCAATAAATATGTTTACCAATATTTTAATGACAAAGAAATTGGCAGGATATTAATTAGTATTGAATTAATTTCCTTGCAGTCACTAAAATGTAAATTACAATTTCTCTCAAACAGAAAAACATGCTTAAATACATACAAAATAATCAATAAATATGTTTACCAATACTTTAATGACAAAGAAATTGGCAGGATATTAATTAGTATTGAATTAATTTCCTTGCAGTCACTAAAATGTAAATTACAATTAAAATTTATTTACCTATTTAGATTGTGGACTAGCATTATCAAAATTTCCAAAAGTTTTTGAGGAGACATGATTATGCACGTTTGCATGTTGTAACTTAATTAAGCCAGGTTACTCGAGCAAGAGCCTCTGTCTTCATGTTTTTTGTTTTTTTTTTTTTAAATTAATAACCCTTTTTCTGCATAAAGCATCTATGAATCCAGACCGGTTCCCGCTCACTGGCTGAGCGAGGTGCGGGCGCAGCACCGAGGGTTGCGATCCCGTTGCCGGTCCCGGTCCGGTACGGGCGCGACACTGAGGGTTGCGATCCATTGCCGGACACGAAAAAAGACAAAAAGGAAAAAAAAAGTGATGTTGTGGGAAACAAATACTTTAAATAGAAATGAGCTATTCACCAAATATTTCCATGATGTAATTCCCAAGAAAATCAATTCCTAAGAATCTATTTTACCAAGATAGTTGACCAAGCAAAATTGAACAGAATCTAGGTATTGAAAGGTTAACATTAGATGTTCTTAAGCTTCTTTTGAGGACATGTTAAATATTCTTGGTATTAGTATAATTCAATGTTCTTAAGGAAAAATAACTTTACATAAGGCATTAAATAACTTTAAAATAATGGTAATCTTTTTTGAGGTGGGAGTGATAATTCCTCAGTTTCTGTCCTGCGAGGGAATCGGTGTTAGTTAATTCAGCTGCCAATTTTTTTAAATTAAATATTAAACTTTAATTTTAAGTGCCACATAAATACATCTTTCATTTACATAAGATTTCCCTAAAGTCAAAGCTTCAATAACATTCTAATAAGTTTTCCAAGTATTTTCCCTTAAAAGTTAGGAAATTACTTTTCCCCCCAGTAGTAATCAAGTTTAAAATACCAAGTTCAGGTCTGTTTAGAAATTTAGTTTGTTAAAGTTGTGTGTTTATATGTGGAGGAGGGGAGCAATATTCACTTTCGTAACAATATAGACTCTAAAACAGACCTGACTATATACATATCCTTACAACAATGCAAACTCATATAAATCATTTTAATTCTTTCATTTATGTGTACCTACCAATATGAAATTAGACTGTCTAGAAAATTAAGGTAAGATGTATATTAAACCAATAATGCCCAGAATTCTAAAAGCAAATAGAAAGTGATGAAATTAAGATTCTCCTCCAAAGAAACAGTGCAAACAATAAGTCAAGGTCAAGTTTTCATAGTGTATGTTGTTGGGATGGGGTTCCAGAAAGTCTCTGGAAGGAGAACCTTATTTCTGGCCAACTGAAATGAGATTGTTTCAAAAAAACAAGGATGGGGACCATCTGGTTTCCCTCAAAAATCTGCATAGGGGAAACACCTAAGATCCAGATCATTATCCTTTCCTATACTATACTCAAATAATTATGTAAGTAGCTGATAGCCATAAAGAATCAATATTGCTTGTGATTTTAGAATAAGAGTTTGTTTATTCAAATAAGAATCCGTCACTGATATTAACAAGGGCTTTTGTTCAATGCATAGCTTTGGGAACAAAAGAAAGAGGTAAGCAAAATGTTTTACTTTGCTATACTCAGCAAACAGGCTGACATACTAAAAGTCCCTCATGATGACAACAGCTCTCAACTGAACCAATAAACCATTAAACTATAAATAGAATATTCAACGCAGGCAAATTAACCTTTTCATTTTTTTTTTTTTAAGTTTACAGTGATCCTCAGGGAAATATCTTGAAAGGTATGCTTCATATTGTCTTGGGTTTATTTCTCCAGGTGCCTCAGGGAAACAAATTTTGGGGGAGTAAAGGTGCTTTGGTGGGGGGCTTAAAAAAATTAACACTCCAATATTCATACTTTCTCTTAACTCTTGGATTGGTGGAATTTTACTTTATTACTTTACTTTACTTTTACTTTATTACTATTATTAATTACCTGCCATGGAGCAAATCA